CTGTTGAGCTCCGTGTCTTGTTACAGTGGCCACACCACATTGAAGCGCGAAGTGTTGAGGAGTGACAAGGGTGTTGTAATGCATGCGAGCAGGCCAACGGGCGTAAACGCACCAATCAAAGTCGCGAAGTTGTTGAGGTTACTTGTATACGTGATGCAAGCTGAGGAAGAGATTGGCAATTTTCCAACTTTGGCAATATGCCCTGCGCTGATCAGACCACTTTCAACCGACAGTACTTGACGGAAACAAGGACACGGAGAAAGCGGAGGCAGTGTGCCGCTCTTAATTGTAACGTACCGTGCTCACCTACTGATAGATCGCAAAATCGGTGAATTTGATCGGTCGGCACAGTGATACTGCCAGCTGGACTTCTCGACTGTACTTCTGTTGTTAACAGGCAAATACGACCCATACCTGAACTCAAATACTTAGATTTTCAGATTCAGCTGATTGCGCCTATCCTCCAATTCGTCATTTAGAGGAAGAAACTTAAAACACCTTCTCGACACATTGTCCCGCTCATTCATCCAGTTTCGTGTTATGATCTAGCAAGAAGTAGCCACAACATCAAAAGCGAGAACCTCTTTACCCTCAATATGCCACCAGCTAGGTCAGATTGCTCCAGCGTAGCTGTGATCGGCTGTGGTCAATGGGGCTCGAATCTCATCCGAGTCTTCGCCGACTCTGGGACACTGAGCGCTGTCTCTGACATCGTTCAATCCAGAGCCAATGATGCTGCGAAACTTCTGCGAACCACCCATAACCACCTCATACCAACTCGCGACTGGGCCAGTATCTTAGCTGATCCGTCTATCACCGCAATTGTGATTGCAACGCCGGCAGCTTGCCATGCAGACATGGCTATTGAAGCTTTGACTGCCGGAAAGCACGTCTTTATCGAAAAGCCTTTAGCTCTGACTGTTTTAGAGAGCAAGCGGGTACAGGCAGTGGCTCATCAGGCACATAGGATAGTCATGGTCGGTCACACCTTTCGCTACCATCCAGCCTTTGAAAAGCTCAGGGACTTTGTGAGGTTGGGAGTCCTAGGAAAGGTTTTGCAAATTCAATCACGTCGGCTTGCCTTCGGGAGAGTTCGTCATGATGAGAACGTTTTTTGGAGCCTGGCTCCTCATGATATATCCATGATTCTAGGTCTCTTCGACAACGTCAATGCTGTAGTTGTTCAGACTTACGGGGAAAGTCTGCTACGCCCAGGCACCACTATCTTGGACACGGTCAACGCCCATTTCAAACTCTCAAATGGGGTGAGCGCTGGAGTCCACGTGTCATGGTTGAACCCTCATAAGGAACGCAAGATGATTGTGATTGGAGAGGAAGCAACAGCTGTTTTTGACGATACAGAGCCATGGGAATCGAAGCTTTGTGTGTTCAAGAACAAGATAGACTGGACGAGCGGTCATCCGGAGGCACCAGACAGCCGAATGGAGGTTATAGCTCTGGAGAAGGTCGAGCCACTCGCCAATGAATGCCAACACTTTCTTGATTGCGTTCGTACCGGCAAAGTTCCAAGGACGGATTTGGCCGAGGGCATGGCCGTTGTTGGCGTACTCGAAGCCGTTGAAACCGAACTACGAATGCGAAACTCCATTCGACAACCGAGCATATTGACTTCCGGACTACATTCAGATCCGAAGACAGAGGTCGCCAATGAAATTTCAGCTCCCAATTTGCAGGACAAGTGTGTCAAGATCTCGATCATCGATCTCCAGTCTCAGAGGCGCCGGATCCAACAGCCCCTTGAACAGAGGCTGTCCCGGGTCTTCAATCACATGAAATTCATTATGGGACCCGAGGTGTACGAACTCGAAGAAAAACTATGTGCTGTGACAGGAGCTACACACGCAGTCACCTGTGCAAGCGGCACCGACGCCTTGACATTGGCAATGTTAGCCCTCGGAGTTGGTCCTGGAGATGCAGTTCTCGTGCCAGCACTGACCTTCATAGCTTCTGTGGAGCCAGTGGTTTTGCTAGGCGCTATTCCAATCATCGTGGATGTGGAATCACAGACCTTAACCATTAATCCAGCTCAAATTGGCGCAGGTGTTGTCGCTGCACGAAAGGCCGGTCTAAGGCCTGTTGGTGTCATTGCTGTGGATTTGTTCGGGACACCCGCAAATTACAACGGTATCCGTTCTGCCATAGCTGAGTTGGAAGAAGAGAGTCTCTGGATCATTGCTGACGCTGCTCAGAGCTTTGGGGCAAGTGTTAACGAGGCGAAAGTTGGCACACTGGCAGATATTACCACAACGAGTTTCTTCCCTTCCAAGCCACTGGGCTGCTACGGAGATGGTGGGGCGGCATTCACCAACAACCCAGAGACTGCTTCTATGCTTCGATCTTTGCGCCTTCATGGGCGAGATGAGAAGGAGAAATATGAGAATGTCCACATAGGAGTTAATAGCCGACTTGACACGATACAGGCTGCGATTCTCCTTTGCAAGCTCGACATCCTAGCTGACGAGATAGCTTCGAGACAAGTGGTAGCGTCTCGTTATACCAGCTTGCTCCAAAATGGAGTCAAAGATAAAGATGGGTCGAATGCAACTCTCTGTTGGCCAGCCGCCCTGCCACTCGATGGGACCGTCTCGGCTTGGGCAGCTTACACGATTCGAACGACTGACGTGAAGCGGTCGCAAATTCAAACGCGACTGCACCAAAACGGCGTTGAATCCGTCATTTACTACCCCATCCCTGTCCATCAGCAGGCCGCCTATCGGAACTTCCCGGTCGCGAATGGTCACTGCCCTACAGCCGAGAGCGCTTGTCGCGAAGTGATCAGCATTCCGATGCATCCATATCTTAAAGCCAGCGTACAAGCGCATATCACATCTTTGTTAGTGGGAACAACTTAAATGCGATTGCGTTGTATGCACTTCATAGTCGAGGCCATTCAATATTCCAATACCTCACGATAGCAGATTGAAAAACATATCTCGCTCGACCTCTAGACCCTCTTGAGGGTCCGAGAAGAGGGGAGTGGACTTGGTAAAAGTCACGGGTCGTATTGTACAACATTGTTTTAGACTATTCGCACCTCTAGTTGGATTGCATCAAACAAGAATAGACCTGCACCCACCAAGTTGCAAACTACAATCGTTAGTTCTCCCACTTCCGCCTGTTCCGTCAAGTGCCCTAAAAATGCCCAGCCCGCATTGATTGTATTCGCATCCAAATAGGTCGCTTTCATCACACCTAAATACATACACTTTTATTTGCCTTTTATGAGTAATGTATATCCAGATAGGGCGTCCAAGATCCCGATGTAACTGTTGCACGATCAATCTAGGAAGACTTGTTCTTCTGATGTTCAAGTATATTGAGTTCCATCCAAGAGGTCTACTAAAAATGGAAGCAGAGCCTTCTGCCCATTAGAGGTAGTCTTTGACCTAATACTGTTATCTCAAAGAGAAATCTTTGGCATGTGCCGTATTTGTCATCCAGGATAGTCGGTTAATAGCGCAATACTTAGTGGGTAATGGGCTAATTATATCTAAGTAGAAGGAGACACTGGTAAGGGTACAACTTTGCTTTCTAACAGAACATTAAATTCGTCTATCCTACCTCCCTCGCTGACTAAGAGGACGGCCAGAGATGCGAGCTTCTTAGCCGCCTCAACATACGACAATTGAATAATGAACATATATCCACTGAGGCGTATGACAACACAACAGCAGTGTCTACTGGTTCAACCCACTCGATAACATGCCTACTTAGTCAAGTGTTTCAGACGTCCGGTTCCTTAGCGAGCTCTAACACTTCCGCGCGCGACGGCATTGACAAACAAGGCCGAGGTGACGCTACATAACCTCTCAAACCTCCACGACGAATTGAATCAAATTCATCTTGCCTTTGCTAGGCGTATGCCGAATCACGGCCTGATCCCCTCATCAATAACAATCTTAGGAGCGGTTTTGGTGTCGATAATAAAGAATATTGTCATGCTAGCTCGTCAATCTGGGCCTTAAACTTGCGTCTTGGGATGAATTCCGTAGGCTGAACGATATGTCGTCCATAGCTCCCATGAACAATTGGATTGAATTTTATCTAACTTTCCATTTGTTGCAGTGACAGTTGAAGTTCTAAGAGGGTATTGCTATAACAACTTCATTGGGGTATTTTGGGAATAGTTATGCTATTAATTCATCCCCATTTGACGTTAGTACCAAAATAGGCAGGGCCAGACTTACCATTTTATTGGTACATAGTTTTAGACTTTACGTCTACATCATTTCAATATCCATCATTCCTATCTTCGCGTTTGTGCCATGAATTTTATTGGAATTCTGATACTACTATGTCTCTAAGCTTACAAAGATCCGTGGTGTTTCTCCTCTCGTAACAAGGTCTTATAGAGATCTGGAGTCGGCTCGATTCCGTTGATAGTCTCTCATTTAAGTCTTTTCCTTACAAACTTCAAACTGCGAGTCCAGCTACATTTTAGAAAAGTCTTATTCGTCTGCCAAGATAAATCTTCTTAATAGTGCTCGATCAGTATAGATATGGATTCGGCAACAGCCATTTCTTGAATTCTAGTCCATCAACATCAATCTGTCACTCTATCGACGCTTCGCTTTTTTTTTTTTTTTATTCTTTTTTAATTCTGCCTTTGCTGATCGCTCGGGCGATTCTCGATATCGTTTACACAGTATTAGCACACAGCATCAGTGGATACTCCCACTGTCTCGGTAGACTATTTCGACGCTTCGCATATCTACTCCAAATCTGGTCATTGCAAAGCTTCTCTAAGAAACTTTCGTAGATACCAGCCAACGTCTCACGCCCTCCATCAGGGTGTTGAGGGTACATAGTCTGTATGCCATTCAAAATACCGCAGCTAGGTGAGCGAATACCGCAGTTTTGCCTCCCAGCGCCTAGCCCCAGTCTACATCGTACATCTTGAACTTTTCCCGAGACGTCTGTGCGCAGTTTTGGCCAGGCACATCCAAGAACGATGTTGGGATCAATGCGCCAAGATCATTCTAGTTGTTCACAATCTGAATGACATCATTGATGAAAGAACCTGTGAATTTCGTATCCATTACAATGATGGCTCTGCGGATCAGCAAAGACAAGGCTGCGAGGTTGTCTCTCTTGAGAATCTCCTTGATGGAGAGCTCTACCTGGATGAAGTCGAGAAAACTGTCCATGGCTTCCGGGTGGATCGATGGTTGGCTTGGTCTTCGGCCGTCGATGGCATTGTTGAAGATAGATTTCTCGCTGCCGTCCAGCTGGGCCGCGTTAAATTGTGCTGCCATTATGCTCCTCCAGATCAAAGCCGAGAGGGCGTCGTTGGTCGATACGTAGAGCCCGCCATCTGTTTGAGGCTGAGCGTCCTTCCTCAATCTCTTCAACGATTCAGGGGATAGATAGAAGATTTGTCCGATATGACCATCCGTTGTCGCTATCTTGGCCAGCTGAGTCGCAGGTTCGGTGATGATGGTGTACTCGGGATGGTCTTCGAGACGTCCAGCCATGTCTTTTGGAAGTGCCTGAGGGATGTAATGCGCAGTTTGACGGTCCGTGTAGATGTGGTCATCATAGCAAATCGGGTTCCGAGATCTCGAGACCTTGAGCCCGGCGAGTTTCCTCGGCCCACACCCGAATCGAGTTGTAGAATGCTTGCCCATCACCCACAAGGTGAAACAGGTTCCAATTGAGAATCAAACCTCCGCGAATAAAGTTAGCTTGTACGGTGGTGATAGGTATGCGTTGTCCAGGGGCAGGCCAAATAGCGCAGCGGGTAAAGGTTCCAGCTGGGAAGCTGGAAACCGGGAAGTGCTTGGCCTCAAGTTCTTCAAAGGAAGGTTTGAAAATTTCTGAATGACGTAGATCATTGATGATGACGGGCTCGATCTCGTTGTCGGTAATGTTTTGGAGTTTGATAGCGTTGGCTTGTCTGGCTTCAGGGTCAGGCAAAGCCTCGCAAGCCAACATTGGAAATCCCTTCTTGGTAGCCAAAAGATTCTGACGAAAAATCTTGGCGATAGCTTCAGGGTCATAGTTTTTCGACAGTTTAAAGGGAAAGAGATAGCTCACTCACCTCTAGGGCCGATCTGCTCGAGAGGAGTGAGTTGCGGAATCCCCGGGAGGATATGCGTATTTGGCACAGATCCCATGGCTTCGATGACGTTCGTTCGTATTTTCGTTGGACACAGGCAATTTTCTAGGCCCGTGCATATAATATCTCTTGTGAAACCACAATATGAAAGCAATAATCAGTAAAATGGCCCTAAGCTATCATAAACGTTTGTCTGGGCGACAGACGACTTTTGTAATTTCACTGCTAAGCTAAATAACCTCTGCATAGTTCCACCCAGGTAGTTCTGATATGACTTCCGGGGGATTGAGCAGACAGACATGATCTATTATCACTACGCATTGTTAGTTGGGACTCTAACCAAACTCTCGTTGGTTTGTACCCACGTATGCGACTCAAGTAATGCCTGCAGTTGCGTGTAGCCGACAGCCTTTATCGACAGCGTGATGTTAGTTCAACAAACTTGCTTGGAGTGACCACGAAAGTCCCATTGGTTCGGATCCGCATGTGCCTCTTAAGTAAAGGTCTCCGTTGCATGTAGAGTTCAGCCCATGAGGGTTCTCCCCTGATTTATGTTGGTCGAGCTGGATGGCAAAATTGCAACGCCTCACTTTCCTTTCGCGGGATTTACTCCGAAGCGGAAAACTGGGGACCAACTGATCTTATCTCCTGGAGCCTGTGATCATCGATATCCAAGGGGAGGGAATGACAGGAATGGCTCAGATGTCAGTCTGTCCGCGGCCCATGGTTGCTGTAATCTATAAGCATACCCATAGGCATTTTACCAGGGCTTTGGCTTGTTTCAATGGCTGACTTCCAACGCCTCGATTTCCGTGAAATCTGTTTGCAGTCGCTTGTCTGTGTTCTATTCGTCTGCCACTTTAGTGATAGAGTATTCTTGAACCCTAGGCCTCGGGAGCATACATCTGGTTCTTCACACACACATCGATCGTTTACCATGGCTTTAGATGTCCTCATCAGAACTGCTTTCGGGTCACCGCCTGAGTATCGACCTTACCTGGAATCAGGCCACCAGAAACATTGCTATTGTTATCATTCTTATCCCAATTGCCACCATTTCTGTTGCCGGCCGTCTGATCGCCCGTGGTAAGTATGGTCCTGGTCTCAGCCTCGATGATTGAGCCATTGTCGAGCCTTAGTACTCGTGGCCGCGACGGCCGGGATGGTTATAGCCATCAGGTTCAGGGGGTCTTTAGAGAGACATTACACCGAGGTTACTGAGCTTTGAAGGATATTGACAAACTACAGTCGGCCAAGCTGGGGCTGGTCGCCACGTTTGGGCCCTTAGCGTTGATGATCTGGTTCAGACTTCAAAGGTAAGTTTTGAAGACTAACTCCATCTCGACTCCGTACTAATGATTTTAGTTGCTATACATCTATAGCTTTGTCTTCTGCATGGCGGTGCTCACCACCAAGATCTCGATCCTCCTATTCTACTGGCGTGTTTTCATGGGAAATAGGCTGTCTTTCCGCTTTTCGATTTGGACAGGTGCCTTTCTCGTCGGTTCATACCCCGTCTACTTCATGATCACGATGGGGTTCTGCTGTAGCCCTCTTTCACACTACTGGACTCAATTCAGGGGCACTATCGGCACGTGTATAGACGTCGGTCGCTTCTTCTTCATCTTAGCCATTATCAATTTCATTACAGATGTGATACTTCTGGTCATTCCGGTACCCGAGATCCTTAGACTCCAAATGAAAATGGACACAAAGATTGCAGTCTGTGGCATTCTCGGCTTAGGAGGCTTGTAAGTTATCAGCAAAGAGGCCTCTGCTATCCTGCACTAACTCACTCGCCAGCGTCTGCATTGCAAGCGCTGTCCGCTTTCACTACCTCAGGGTCTTTTCAACGGCAACCGATGTAACATGGATGATGGGTCCTGTAGCCATATGGTCTTCTGTTGAACCTTCTGTGGGCATCTTTTCTGCTTGCCTTCCTAGTTTCAAACCATTGCTCAGGGCTTTGCGAGGAAGAAACATGAACTCCAGTACTTCGGATGGTAAAGGTTCAGCTTACCCACTGGGTTCGAGAGGTGGAGCTCGAAGTACGAAACCTAGATTAAGATTGGATGACGAGATTGCCTTACAGAGTCGGGCAATTCGTGGCGGAGGTTGTGGGAGTGTACATAGCGGAGATGACAGCGAATTTGGACGTCATATTCATGTCAAGACCGATTTCAAACAGACATGCAACGGAGTTGACTAAATGAATGCCAAATAGGTGGCATGCATTTAGTTGACATCTGAATGGTCAGTAGACAGGTGCAATATGGTAGGCAGTGGAAGCACCCGTAGGCCAATTACACATGATCACTCAGAGACCCTGTCTACTCGCTTACTCCGAAAGAATCCATTGGCATCGCCTGACCCTCCTCCTTCCGTTGTACACGTAGCAATTGACCACGTTGTTGAGCCGCCAGTATGAAGTCTGGTAAGAATATTGCGGGGGCGGAATCCAGCGTCCGTCTTCTTGTGTTACCCACTGTCTCAGTCTGTGATGACCTGGATGAAGCCCCTCCAGCTTTCTTCCAGCACAGCCTTCTTGACAATATAGACTAAGGTACCCGGATCCTCGCCACTGACATTGAGCAGCTGGCAGGTCGTGGTACGACTATCAACATCCAACTACTGGTACGGTACGCCATCGAGGCGCTTAGGCATTACAAGAGGCGTTTGGAAATCGAGCGCCGTAGGCCCTTTCGACTTGCAGTGCGGGACGTGAGATGGCGCAGAGGTTTTTGGAGTAGAGAGTTTTAGGCTTACCAAAGTCATCATACTTCCCAGGATTAAAGCAGTGACTACATATAGTCTTTCGCTCATTGTATACATCCCCAAAACCCTAAACGCTCTTCCTTCGAGACTTGAGTGAGCGTGCCACATACCTTAGCCCCGAGGGAATCCTACCTGAGTGGTGGAATGAATATTTGGTGGCGTTTACCAAGGCTGGGCAAACTATGTTTTGTCTTGGCCTTCGGCCTAAGTCGACCGAGGTGTGCCTTGACCTGACGACAGATGGAACTCGAGGGATTCCTCCTCCCCTCCAACTTGCGTAGGTGCCTCGGTTTCGTGTCCACATCCGACTAAACAGTGAGGACATTCGTGAGAGCAGGATTAAGTGGCACAGCTGCTCCGGTGCTGTCACGCATGTAGAGAACACAGATATTGCAGAATCGGCAGTGTCCGATTAAGGTACCTAACGAAATGACAAGTGTCACGGCCTGCTCAGACAATGTGCCATCGCGCGGACAACAGGTTGCAGTCACCGCCAGAAAAAGCGGGGAACGAACCAGAACTTCGGAAGTGGCACCTCACCACCCCGCGTTACCCCAGCAAAAGTCCCCAGTTGTAGGGCGCATGAGGCCAATAGAGTCGCCCAGCATTAAGAGTCCAGTCGATCGTTGCCCGCCTTTTGTTTCGCAGACTTCGACTTTAATTCCACTTCGCATCTGACCGACTCATCACGGGCTTGATTGAGGACGCCGCATGTAGCATATGTCGTTGCTTTGCCAAAAGTACAACTCCTTCGGGGGTTCTGCAATGATACCGGGCTATCACGCAGCGACAGACGTGGGCTAATCCATATCAAGTGTGTGAGTCCGATGTGAAATTGCAGCTGCGGCGCAAGCGGCTTGGGAGCCAAGGGAGCCAAGGAGCCAAGACTACCTGGGCACTGCGCTGGGCAGGCCCGACAGAGAGAAAACAGACTTGGATTCGCTGAATTGCAAGACGAACCGATGTCAAATGACTTGGGGACTGTACCCTTACGAGTCCGAGCCGAGCTCGTGTACGGATAGTGGCATGTTGTTTCCGACAACTAGACAGAGTGGTCGCTCGGGACAGTACGATGCTTCTCACGCCTTTCGTGAACTCCATAGTCTACACTCATATTCTTTAGTTAAACTGCTGCGTGCAGCCGAGACGTGGGCGCCATTATATATGAGCATCAGCTGTGGGTCGCAGTGCATTGAGCATGCAGTGGTTCGTCCAGACACGAGCAAACTGCACCACGCCAGATCGAAAACAGACTGGAACGAGAGGTTGAGATCCTGGCAAATTCTTCTGCATCAATGAGGCACCTGATCAACCGGCTCAAAGGAGCTCCTCCTCCAACCGTGTCTCCACGCGCTCGGTCAAAAGATACCCCAGGATATTGTGCTTTTCCCCCGCTTCGTTTACGCATTCCCCAAAGAGACGGTTGTCAACCCCATGGGGACCATGTGGGGAAATTGAGTTCACGCAATCCAGACTCGGGGTTGAACTTGCGCGAATAACCCCAGCATTGGGGGCAGGTGGTTGGAGGACACTCCTTGGCATCTTGGCAACCAGGGAACCGGTCCGGACAATGGTATTCGTACCTGCAAATACGCAAGTGCTTATCTTCTCCATGTTCCTCCTTTCTGTTTCCCAGCAAGT